CTTTATTTCATATAAAGTTGAAGTTACTCCACAATTAGCATCTGATGGTCATCGAAAATGTTCCGAGATGTGCGAAAATTAGCATTAACCTGCTGATAAGTTGGTCACAGAGGGAGCAAGAAATCACGAAGTTTCTGTCACTCCCTCCAAAGTGTTCCCTTCTATGAAACGACTGTGCATATGACCAGTGTCCCTGACGTTATTTCGCACGATCTGCGTTTGACTGTAGGGGTCACTAGATGCGACAAGCCGTATTTCAAGCATATCAGAAAATAGAGAAAGGAGGAAACTGCCCTCCTGAACATAGCTTTATATGCTGTTACATAGACTGCATGAAAAGTCAGCATTCATATATGTGAAGTGGTCTGTTGTCATGATTTTTTTGCTTCTCTCTGATAATGTCTCGCAAGCATTATTGGTAGTCTTTAGTATCAGAACAGTAGCCGGTAGAAGAAGCCATACCTGTTGCATACACGCTGACCTTAAATTCCAGCTGGTATAGTATACATGATGATCATTGCCAAATGCCAGTACTGTGATATACCACAGAATTATGGTGAACAGAACAGCACTGTAGCAAAATAATTTTTTTCCGCGCCGTTTTAGGCATCACGCGGGAAACAAATGCTGAACGTAAGGTGGAGACACATGGTTCAGTTTTTCACGTGAAGAACAGCGAAGATCTGCATTGCTAAGCTCGCTAGAATGTAGGAAAAACTGGCAGAGGTTGGGAACCTCACCAAGCTGAAACTCGAAAAAATCTAGACTGTGGTCTGTTGTGATTTCGGAGCCTGGGGCATGTACCGTCGAGACGTAAATGTGTAAGTATGCCATTGCGTACAATATATTTCTAACAGGCGATCGTCGCGAATTTTTCAGGTAAACTTACAATCAACGATCTGTTGCTAGAAGAACTCATCACTCATCGTTTGCTGTCTACGTAATATTTTCCTTTCATAGCCCCATCCAGTTGGCTTAGATCACCTTCATCTGATCTGTGTACGAATCAACCTTCAAGCTTCGATATCGCTTCGGTATCTGTCTGTTATTTCATCGTTTTACTTGAGCCCAGCTCTTGTGATTTGTTATCTACCGTTTAAGGACCTTCAATAACATATCGAAGGTCAAGCCGCTTCTTAGGCCCAATAGAATTGGCCAACTGCAACAGGTCGATTATGTCGATTATCCTCTCTATGAGTCAAATGCTGAAGTCTAATTGCCTAGCCACATTTCAGTTTAGTGACAGCGGATATACACGGGAAAAAAAACGGTCCCAGTGACTGTGATCGCCTAGGAAATCATTTCAGCAGGTCACGCTCCATGGCATATAAGTATCTGCATCAAATAGGATGCAAAGCAACATCCCTGAGTTGTTTTGAACAAGGGCATATTCGAACACCAACCAAATATCATTGACCCATGACTTACTTAATTGTCCCCTTTAATGGACTAGAAACGGCGATGCATATTCATCACGTAAATTCGATATCTTTTATATACGGAGTGAGAATGCTGCAGTTCGTGGCAGGACTGAGAACAACGATGTTATATTATATGAGATCAACATGGTATATTTATCTCATTTTATCTATATCAATTGCTGTATGTTCCTTCGTGTCTGAATCTAGATCTGGTTCGACAAAGTGCAAACTTTATGAAAAAATGTTTCTTCGCAATAATAGGTCATTATTCCGCTGACAGCCATATGGCGAGGTTCACTAGAGGCAATCGAGATACCATTATTTTTAAGCCTCTTTTATTCTTAAATATTTCTTGCTACTGTCACCATCATCGCACTCATTATTGATAAGATTTATCTATGCAATCAAGAATCGAGAAATAGTCAAGAATTCGTCAAGGCTAGCCCTTATGGTAAAGTCACGGAATAACGCCCAAGGGACAGCTAAAGTCTGACAGCACCGCTCCTTCGAATCCAACACATGGAGGATAGGGCTGGCACCATTCTGACTGAAACGGCCGACATCTGACGAGACAGGCAAAGTTCATTTCTCTCTCGAAAAGTACGTACATGCTTTCATGAGCTTGAGGTACGGATATAACGATAATGCGTATGGCAAAAATATACAACAAGCCGTTGAATTAAAGAGGAATACTGTACAAAACAGATCGAAAGTTTATCTCCAACTTGTCGTTACGGTAGCAACAGTTCTAAGTAATATTTATACAAATCCTGTGAGGTATTTCTTTTAGAAGCAGCATAGGGGTGGAAGTTCCGTATCCTGAAAATATGGCTGATAGGTGTTCCGCAAAAGCCTAATAACGGACTCAGAAACTGAGTAACGAATCATCGGAAACCGGTTCTGTCGAACAACCCATAAACGAAACTCTTTTCGAAACATGAACTAATTCCATTAATCTATGAGAAGAATTGAACCCTGAGAATCCATTACGAAGTTTCTTCGTCTTTATTAAATCGGATTAAGTTTCTTACCGAACCCTTTAATCTGCAATGCATCAGATGGCATATATGCTTCAAATTTGAGGAGAAAATTTGCCTGGTTTCAAAACATACAGAGGGTCTTAGAACTCAGCGATAGCTTCATCTCTTTGGCAGTCATCAGAGGACTTTGGACGAGTCATAAGTCTTCTTTCGGCTATGTCATTTTCAGTCTGCAAAACGCTTAATGCGGTGGAATGTTAAGTAAGTAACGCTCCGTTAGTTGATGGGTGTTCGAGCATGCAACTGGCTGTATTATGCTATATTGTGCTTTGAACGAGAGCAAGTGAAACAATTAGCGTAACAGCACCACCCCTTTGCTTCCAGCGGCCTGGGAGACCCCTTAAACAGGTGTATGGACGAAAAACCTCATCACTACGCTGCATAGACGAAAATATGTTCAAACGCCGGCTGATATGCTTCTATCTGTAGGCATATATAGCTAACCTCACATTAAGGTTGAGTGATTCGTAGGTAAACCTCGATAAGCTTATTGCTGTGTATTATTTATTGTCACAGCCAGAGAGTGCACGTGTGTTCTGTTAAATCCTGTCACGTGCGATGTAGCAGTTTTCATATGATCAGCTTTAGCCGAAACATCCCTGGATCGAAGGGTAGGTCTGTTCG